AAATACCACGGCCTGGGCAAGTCTATTTTGAAGAAGTGGCATTAGAAAAAGTTTAAGTTTAAAAATTTGGCCCTCAAAAGAAATTTCAATCATTGTACTGTTGATATTTGGCTTTGTTGACTAACGAGTTTGCTAACCACTGGCATACCTGAAGCCTGTATAATTTTATTAACCAATATATCCCCAGTGAAGTTAATTACATTTTTAAAATCTTTTAACTCCTACTAACAGGAAGTGTGAATGAATCTAAGCTGTATTAAAAGTTGTACATTGGACTCCAAATATGTTGATAGTCAGAGAAATACCTGAGATAGGAATATAGTTTGTGACCAAAAACTATTTAACTTTAGGTAAGGTTACATTAACAGGAAAAAAAAATTTTAAATATATTTTATTGATTTTTTTACAGAGAGGAAGAGAGAGGGATAGAGAGTTAGAAACGTCGATGAGAGAGAATCATCTATCAGCTGCCTCTTGCACACCCCCTACTGGGAATATGCCCACAACTAAGGTACATCCCCTTACTGGAATCGAACCTGGGACCTTTCAGTCCACAGGCCAACGCTCTATCCACTGAGCCAAACAAGTTTCAGCAACAGGAAAATTTTTAACTATAACTCAGTGGAAATTCAAGAATGCAGAATGGAATACAACTACAATATATATTTAACTATTATAGTTGTGGTGTTTTTTTTGGGGGGGGGGTTTGAGAGTTGTTGAATTGCCTATTGGCATTGTTCAGAGGACTATGGTATGGAAGGGGTAAGTTTGTGTGTGCATGTCTTTAGATTAGAAATCAATGATTATAGATTTTTAAAAGAAATCTCCCTAAATATAGAACTACTGAAACTTACTGTGAAATTTGGCAACCCTAAGCCTCCAATGGTTAAATTTTTTTCAACAATGAAACTATAAGAAGGAGTTTTCACTACCCACAGATCTACTCTAATGTTAAGTATGTTTTAATCTCCTCTCTCTCTCTCTCTCTCTCTCTCTCTCTCTCTCTCTCTCTCTCTCTCTCTCTCTCTCGCTTTCACTTTGCTTCAAATTGGGTGTGGTCTTTGGTCTGCTACATAGGCAAGGCCTTTTATGTGTACCTGGGCTGCCAGGCATTCTCCTTGGTCATAGAAGTTTCAACCATTTTAAGATGCCACTCTATCTACATGCACCCTGTTGTGCTGGGACCACCTTAATGCTCTTTTTAGATCACTATATAGATGACTCCAGAGAGCAGACTTTCTATAAGTGATCATCATATTCCTTGCAAAGCAAGTATTCTTATCATCTCCATTTTACATATGAGGGCACTGAGGCCCAGAGGAGATAAAATGACTTACCTGTGGTTATAAAGTTGTTAAATAGTGAATCCTAAATTAAGACTCTTTCTGAATCCAGATTTAACCACTATACTACAGTTAACATTTCTGATTTTTTTTAATGGAGATATGATTCACAGAGAAAAAGAACATAATAAAAATATTAGTTCCATTTTCCATGTTTCCATGTCTTAGAATACTTCAGACTGCTCTAAAGGACTATGGCAGTTCTACTTCCAACACAGTGGTGTCAGGCCCTATGGATATAGTCCAATTCAACACATAAAGTGTTCTCCTGGAGCCCAGGAGTCTATATGCTGTTTCCCTTTAACTTGGGTGCCCTGTATTGGCAGCTTTCTAGGGAACAGTTTACATTTTAAAAAATGTATTTTTATTGATTTTAGAGAGAAAGGGAGAGGGAGAGAGAGATAGAAACATCAATGATGAAAGAGAATTATTTAAAAAAAAGAAAGAAAGAAAAAGAAAGAAAGAAAGAAAGAAAGAAAGAAAGAAAGAAAGAAAGAAAGAAAGAAAGAAAGAAAGGAAGAAAGAAAGAATTTTTGACTGGCTGTCTCCTGCAAGCCTCACACTGGGGATCAAGCCCACAACCTAAGCATGTGTCCTGACTGGGAATCAAACTGTGACTACTTGGTCCACAGGTTGATGCTCAACCACTGAGCCATGCCGACCAGGTGGGAACAGTTTACATTTTGTAGACATTTATGTCCTATCAAGTAACAAAGATAGCAATGCTTTGTACTTTTTTATTTTATCTTTATCTGGAAATAAAATTATTGGTCATTTTAAGTATTTCTCCCCATTTTGATAGAATGCAGAAGTGACATGTTTATAAAAATGGAATTAAATTAGATAATTTATGATCAGAATAGTATAGGAAGATCAGAAATGTACTCAAGTTCTCAGCATTTATTGGACAATTTTGAAAATGTTCAAGAATAGATGAGGTCATCATTCACCAGAATAGGAAGCACTGAAAGTAGATCACATCGTATAGGGGAAAAGATCAAGAGTTCCATTTGGATGTGTTGGGTTTGAGGGCCTGGGCCCATGATTTGGAGATTTAGATGGTCAGGGTTAATGGAGTAACATTAGTAGCATAAAGATGGTAGTTAAACACATAAAGGATGAGGGAGACAGCCCACCATGATCTTGTAGCACAGGAAGAGAAGAGGGTCAAGGATGGGACCTGGAGTTCTTGTGAAGCACAAAGTGACCTCATAAAGAAGCAGTCTGAGAGGCTGAAGGCAGTTGGCTATTGGAAGCTGAAGCTTAGGGGGAAACTCTGGGTTGTAGCTATAGCAGGCGGCATTTAGAGGGTGGTAGAAAGCATGGGAACAGAGGAGATAACCTAGAAAATGTAGTTTTTGTATCAATAGCATTCCTTCTAATAACTGATAATGTTACCAACTTGTTAGAGGTAGAGATAGTCTGATGATAATGATTTCCAAATTCATTGGAATGGGGTAAAGTGCAGGGGCAATAATTAAATTAGAGCATGTGAGTATATAAAGACTATAAAAGATATGTTCAGGCTGTACCTGTATTCCCTTCCCATGAACCATACAAAAGAGGGAATGCCTTTGTCCATCTCTACTGTGAACACATTGATAACTGAGACCCTTTATCAATAAATGTCACCCCTGCTCATACCAAAGTTTTCTCATTGGAAAAAGTTTGTCTAGCATGATTTTGGCCTTATGGTAGAAAGTCATGTTCTAAGGTGTTCAAAGTCACTCAGCCAAGAAAGAACGGTGTGTGTGGCCCATGGGACTGAAGAGCAGGGGCAGTGGCCAAGAGCTGACCCCACCTCTTCTCACTCTCCTTTATTTTTTTTCTACAGTAAATCTTTTCTGCTTGAACATGTGGTGTTTGTCTTAAACAATGCACTCTGTCAATAAAGACAAAAGCTACACTGGGTTTCTTACATGAAAATCCCTCAACTGGAGGTGACAAGGAATAGCCCCCTTGACTTCAGTGGAAGACTGAGGACTGATATTTCCCCTCAGCTGACTCTGCTCTATTTCTTCTTGCCTAAGCTGGAACCACCTAGACAGCTATTAAAAAGACTAGAGGCCCGGTGCATGAAATTCATGCACTCAAAGAGGGGGATCCCTCAGCCCGGACTGCACCCTCTCACAGTCCAGGAACCATCAGTTGGACATTCTTCATGCTGCCAGGAGTGAGAGAGGCTCCACCACCACTGCTGTGCTAGCCAGCCATGGGCCTGGCTTCTGGCTGAGCAGCATTCCCCCTGTGGGAGCACAATGACCACCAGGGAACAACTCCTGAATTGAGCATCTGCCCCATGGTGGTCAGTGCATGTCATAATGACCAATTGTTTTGCTGTTCAGTCAATTTGCATATTGGCCTTATATTATGCTAGTGGCCTGGTGCACGAAATTCGTACATGGGGAGGGGAGTGTCCCTCAGCCCAGCCTGCACCCTCTCCTATCTGGGACCCCTCTCACAATCCAGGACTGCTGGCTCCCAACTGCTTGCCTGCCGGCCTTCCTCATTGCCCCTAACTGATTCGGCCTGCCAGCCTGATCACCCCCTAAGTACTCCCCTGCCAGCATGATTGATGCTCAGCTGCTCCCCTGCCAGCCTGATTGCCCCTAACTGCCATCCTCTGCAGGCCTGGTCACGCCTAACAACTGCCCTCCCCTGAAGGACTTGTCCTCCCTAACTGCCCTCCCCTGCAGGCTTGATCACCCCCAACTGCCCTCCCTTGCAGGCCTGGTCCCTCCCAACTGCCCTCCCCTGCTGGCCATCTTGTGTCCACATGGGGACAGGTTCTTTGACCACATGGGCTCAGCCGTCTTGTGTGTTGGAGCGATGGTCAATCTGCATATTACTCTTTTATTAGATAGGATAAGCAACTGTTTCTCATTTAAGGCCCTCCCTCCAGCATCACTTAGCTGTGATTTTAAAAAGTTTCTCTTCAATCCCTGAAACCGTTCCAGAGCAAGCTGGAAATAAAAACCCAGATTGTTTTTCACTGAGTAAGCTTCCATGACATTTATCACAGGCTCTCACAGACTTTCAGGGAGTGATATTTTGTGGTGCAACAAGCTTGAGAACCAAGTTTATCTAGTTTATGAACACAACACAAAGGTTAGGAAAATTCCCTCCAAATGATTCCTCCTCCCCAAACCTGACCTAAGCTTCAGGTGCTTAATAACAACAATAATGTTAAGGGATTTTTATTATTATAAAATAAATAACAGGATAAAGACAAGTTCACCCTGGAAACAGTGGAGACTGCAGATAGATACAATAGATTTCCTTTAAATACACCAATTTCTTGAGAAGGAGTGGGCAGGTTCAGAGCTATTCTCTCTGCTCCCCCTCCCATCTACAGTGGTGGAGATAGGAACAAGGTTGATTAGCAACAGTCTCACACTGTGAGGGAGGGAGGGAGAGTGGGAGGAAGGGGGAGAAGGAGAAAGAATAAATGAGTGTCAGGGAGGCTAGTGGGGGGACAGAGTTTTTTTAGTTCTCCACTGCGTTAGACTTTCTAGAGCCTGTTCCCTTCATCAGTGACACAGGGGCCAGAATCAACCATAACTAAATGTGAACCGAGCCTCCTTGTTTCCCTTATGTAGTTTCACTGATAAATCAAATACATTATCCACTGAAAGACACTTCAGGCAACAAAACAAAACAACTAAAAAACTAAACTTGGCTAATAATTTGCTATTTACTCAGAATTCAATCTGTGCTTAATGGCCTTGTCTTTTCATTGGCATCTCTGGATGTCTGTATCAGTTGGGTTACTGCTTCAGAATATAAGCTCATAGGGAACGGGGTCCTCTTTGGTTTCACCCCACCCATAATTCACTTATTGCAGCCCTATATGCCTTGGGGTGTATAATAAATAGTTCTCCGTGGGGAGGATCCTAGAGTTATAAATAGGCAGTTCAACAGGGGGTTGTCTTAACTGCTTTGCTGTATTATGAAGACTACCAGCATCTGCTCAGTGGCAGCCTGCGAGGTTACAGTGTTCAGAGTTTGAGTAAGCCAAAATATGTGAAGCCGGTCCCATGGCTCACTTGGCTTGGATCAGTCACATTGACAAACACTGAAGCACCTGGTTGCAATTCAAATACTCCTCCCAAGTGAATGGATTGTTGCCCGCAAGGTTTGGAGGAACTGTGGGTATTTGCCGCTCTAAGTAAGATTCTCTCAGATCCACTCGGGGACTTCAGGCAGAGGCTGGCTATAAATGGAGCTTGACTTGCAGCTTCCCGATTGGAACAGAAGGTGACTTGGGCATAGATATAATAGAGTCCTTGTCTTTTAACAGCCAGCTGTTTCCCATTCTCGAGGGTTACCAAGTTGTTGCTCATAGTGTAATATCCTTTTTGGGCCCACTGTAGAACTGTAATGGAGAGGAGAAAAATTTGTGGTGAGATGAAGCATAGCATGATTCACATTCTAACAAAACATAGTTTAATGTTGACACTAACTTCGTATATGAATGGAAGTTTGGGGCAATAGGGACTTTTAAGGACCCTTCCAGCCTTAACTCTATGGCTGACAAATTAGCATAGGCTTTATAGTCAAATGAAGCTCGGTTCCAATCCAAACTTTATTCAAGCACCGGCAAATTAATCTCTGAGTTGCAGTTTCTCATCTGCAACCCTGGGCTGATATTAACAGCACATTTTAGAGACTTGTGAAAATTAAATAAACAGAGCATAGCAAGTTTCCTTCTCCCTTTAGAGTTCTTAAAGCTAATTTGTCCTTGAACTTCAGAAAGTGTGAATGATTTCAAAATTACACATAATAAATTATGCATTCCAAAATATTCAAGCAAAATCCTTGCTAATATTAACATTTATTTATTCCTTTTATTAAATTTTATAAAGTCAAAGAATTGCTGATCTTCCTAGCTCAGCCTCTGCACAGAGAAAAGGAAAAGATCCCATTTCTTCCTACCTGATCAAGCTGTCGCAAACCTGACCTGCCTCCCACAGCAAGAACTAAAATTAGGCAAGGAAGTATAAAAATAAACCTGTCATTTCACTATGTGTTTTGATCTCCCCTTGTAGTGGGCGCCACCAACTTGAAAGTGCATGTATTCTTGTGGCTAAACCAGAGTACCCACCAACGGTGTGCCATTTTCTCGGCTGAGATGTTGAGTGGGTTCAAAGTAGTGTGTGCACCTGATTTCAAATCTCAGCTCCCACAGAGAGTTAGATTGCTGGGGTGGGGGTTGGGGAGAAGTAAAAATATTGATACATTTGCTTCCTTGAGCTTTAAAAATAATCCTATTTGGTGGTCTTAAGCCTATCGGAGTGCAAGATCCAACCTGTTAGGACTCATCCTTTAGTATAAAAAAGGCATCCAAAATGTCCAACTTTGCTGAAACCGGTTTGGCTCAATGGATAGAGCATCGGCTTGGGGACTGAAAGGTCCCAGGTTCGATTCCGGTCAAGGGCATGTACCTTGGTTGTGGGCATATCCCCAGTAGGGGGTGTGCAAGAGGCAGCTGATCGATGACTCTCTCTCATCGATGTTTCTAACTATCTCTCTCTCTCTCCCTTCCTCTCTGTACAAAATCAATAAAATATATATGTATATAAAAAAAAGTCCGACTTTTTGGCCCTCCAGATCACTTAAAAAATGGTACTTTATTATGATGTTTGCACTTTTAGACCAATTGAGAAAACAAGTGCAGGTTCCATATATTTTAGTCCACTAAATTTATTTTTATAAGTCAATGTAATTTTCAGCCTTGCTGTGAGATGTAGGTCAAGTCTGCAGCAGCATGAGCAAGAAAGAACTAGAGGTTTGGGACTGGGTTAGGGTGAGAAATGTTACATTTTCTCACCTGGTCCCCTGAGAACCTACTGTGATGCAGAGCATAAAATATACTAGGACCAATATCAATAACGGTCCTTTTAGCAGAATCTGAACATCATGAAATATAACCAAGGGCAAAGATTTATATACAAATGACCAATGGGAAGCTATTTTTGAGGAAGTATCTCTGTTGCTATTATCTGGATAAGAAGTTGTCATGTGGATGGCCTCTCTGGATATGCCAATATAGTTGTGATATTCTCTTATCTATAAGTGTATTTTCTAAGAAAGGGGTACTTTGTGGAATTAATCAAATATTGTGGGAATGCTGGTATAAATGAAGGACTTTATGTCACTCTTGTGACAGCTAAATTACAGTGAAAAAAGCTAAGTAATGTAATTTGTATAGCACTTGACGGTACAATGTCCTTCACATTAGCTGATTTGATGCTTAGAGTCACTCTGTGAAGTGGGGCAGGAAATTGCTGTGTAGATAAAGAGACTTGTTGAAGGTCATCCAGCAAGTAGTAGTCATGGTTCTTGAGCCTCAGTGTTCAAAACTCCTTATCTACTGCTCTTACTCCCATACCATGATCCATGATAACCATTTATAACCACTAAGAAACCAAAATCCCACCTTAGAAATAAGGTTGTCTCTCCTCTCCTCCCCTCTCTTCCCCTCCCCTCTCTTCCCCTCCTCTCTCCTCTCTTCCCCTCCTCTCTCCTCTCCTCCCCTCCCCTCCCCTCCCCTCCCCTCTCCTTTCCTCTCCTCTTCTCTCCTCTCCTCTCCTCTCTTCCCCTCTTTCTCAATCACACACTCTTTAAGACTCCATTCCAGAGCACTTCAAAGACTTCTCTCATGCTCTCAGACTGCATTTATGTAAATGGGGGATTTTATGCTAGCGTGTGTGTTTCCATCCATTTATCAGATGTGACACATTCTCCAGCACCAGCTATCAGGAGGTACAGATTTGGGAAAAAGATCTAAGGGCTAGAACAATGGCAGAACGTATATGGAAATAAAGTCACTCAGTTGAAAAGATTACAATATGTTTTCTGTTGTTACTTCATTGGAAAATCTAACATCCTGGCACCTACTGATCTTTGCAGAATGATTTCACCTTTTAATTTCCTTGAGGTTGGCCCCCATGTGAGGCTGAGGTAATCATACATCAATTGACAGATGGCAGGAAATGCCCCTTGAGGCCCATTTACACATAATGAAGAAGGGTTAGTAAGAGTTCGCAGTTAAGTCACTACCTGCCATCTCTTCTATGTTGTCAGAATAATGATCTCTTCACCCAGTAATTCATCATTTAGAATCAGCCATTGAACAAGAACATAATGAGAACTTCAGTATTATTTCCCACCTCCTTTTGTTCCTTCAAGTCCCATTTTTACATTTGAACTCACTTTGAAGACAAAGGAGAACATGTGCGAGGTACATGAGTAGGTTTATAGATTAGGCCCCAGAGGAAGAGAGGAATCTAATCATTAGGCTGTATTGCATCAGTATCCCAGCCTTCTCCCTTGGATGGCTGATGCTCAGATGCTTTTGGACTTACCAGATGCTGTTTTACTACTGGCCTCACTTATGACATGCGCTGCAATTTGAGGATCCTGATCACCTAAAATGATACAAAAACCAAACTGTCAGGCCAAAGTAATGCAAAACTGCCCATGGAACTATTTAGTTCAGTTCCACATCTGTGTAATAGAGACTGTGTTTAAACAGGTTATGTAAAAGTAAGGGTAGAATGGTTTTTAATCCTCACCATGGGAAAAATTGGTTTCTAAAAAATCTGAATGATTGAATTGATTAATTCCACTGATCCTATTTTTCTTATAGTTGTTCAGTACTCAATTCAACTTCACATAGATTGACACAGGCTAAAAGTACTGGTCTGCATTAAAACATACTTTGAATCTTGCTTTTAGGAACAATGTCCATCCATTGGGAATGTTAGTGGGCCCCAAGGTCATGTCTACACAATTAGCTAGTAAGATGCTCATGGTGTCTGATTTGGTCAAATAACTGGCTAACCTACTGTATCTACCTCTAATTGTTTCTTATGTAAAAGGCTTGCTTCTTAATTAGATGTGCTAATTGCATAAGTGCAAAGATTGTGTGGAAGTTTCTTTTTGTCCACTAATGAGGCTGGTGTCAGATACTTTGTAGATGCCCTATAAATATTTAGTCAAATTTCATGACCTAAATTATAAGTTTTGTTAAGTTTATCATTTTTTTCTGAAGACTGTTAGGCAGCCTGTATGATTAACTTCAGCCTCCACATGAACAGTTTCCTCAAAGTTTACTGTACTTAATAGATAACATGGTTCTACTCAACATAGAGTCATTCTAAAGACAAAGCCTTCATGGAAACCAGATCACCCTTTGTATCTAGACCAACAGTTAAAGCAAGGTCTGAGTATGCTCTTTGCTTCAGAAAACAGTATCTGTATTTCTGTATGCACAGGGTAGCGGCAAAAGTAAATTTACAGTTAGAAATATGGAAAATAATATAATAATAAATAAATAATAATATAAGAATAAACTGTATGCTCACAACTATAAACCTACTTTTGCCCTACCCTGTAAGTGCATATGTATTTGTGTGTATTAAATTTACAAAACCCATACCATCATTTTCACTGACTTTGTGATATAATAGTCTCTCTAAAAACACCCATCAACCAACTTTTCATCTTTCTGATATGTAGGTCACTCCAGGAGTTATTATGTTACAGTCTAAGAGGAACAGGGAAAATTAGGGAGTCATCCAGAAAAGGAGGTAACTAGGAAAGGAAAGGGTCTGGAAAGGCTCACAAGAACAAGAGTGGAAGGTATTGGGGAGGTTTAATCTGGAGAATGAAAGGTTTCCATGATATCTGGACAGCTGCTATGTAGAAGAGGAATTATACTTTGTTTCATATGGCCCCATAGAGCAGAATTGGTTCCAGTGAGTGGAAATTACAAGAACAAAATTTAACTCCAGAGGAGAAAAGACTTCTCTCATGTAATATAGTAAACTTATTATAATTTTTAGACCCATTCAAAGATGGGCCAGGCTGCTGTATGAGATAGAAGGTGCCTCGGCATATTTTACCAGAGGCCAGACCAGATGGTCATTGCTGTTGTGAAGGAGATTTGTGCCCTGGGTGTGGTGTTGGATTTGAGAACAATCAAGACCCCTTCAAACCAAGAGATGTTCCAGATACTTCATCAAAAACAAGGCAAAGAATAGAATATTGTTACATTGACTCATTCCTTGATCCCAGAGGCTCCACTGGCCATGGTTCCCCATGGAAAAAATTATTGAACAATGAATGCCACTGCAACAAATGATGATTTTCTTATCATCTTATCCCATGTAGGTGTTATGGTTATTTGATCATGGTACTGAAAATAATGGAATTTCTTCATACTTGGTAATGTCAAAATTAAAAGAAGCCATCCAATTGTATTCCAGTTTTACTTCCAAGGCTAAAAGTTCCCTGATACAACACTGGGTTACTCAATATAATCAGCCATATAAAGCTTCCTTTTAGTTTTTAAGTATGCATAGAAATTGGTAAACAGCAACCTACCTTTTTGATGTTGAAAGTTTTTTTCTTTCTCTTTCACTTCATATCCCGTTATATCCTGAAATAAAAATCATTGCAAAAGATTTTGACAGGGACTCTTCTGTGGGGTTTTAGAGGTATCATTCATTTGGTATCAAGCCTTACTCTGCTTCCTGTTTCTAGTAAGGATTATAATATATGCTTATATCCTATATTAATATCATACTGATTGGGAGCCCATAGCTCTGACAGATGAACTAACAGCCCAGAAAACTGAGGTGTATACCTAGAAGCAGAGTCTGGTCTTCATTATCTTCATTCCAGCGTTCTCTCTAGATGAGAGGTGATTATACTGACTCTTCCTGTGATCCCAACTTCCCTGGTTTTGTTATATATTTGCAAATAATGTTGAATGGGGAAATGATTCTACCCTGGGAACTGGTATATAGAATGTTAGTAAACATAAAGCCTAGTGTATATCTATTAGAATAAAATTTCTGTGAAATCTTCCAGAAAATGGTAACAATAAGTTTGATTGTGGGAAGAAATCTCAACATTTTTTATTTTGTTGTTTCAGTGGGCTGAGGAGGTTCTCTTGTTGCTGGTATTGTGCCCTTGTGTGGCCTGCATTTACATGGGTAGGCAAAAGTAGGTTTATAGTTGTAATACAAAGAAATAATATAATAATTAATAAATAACAATACAAGATAATAATACAAGAATAAACTATTTCAACTACTCACAACTGTAAACCTACTTTTGCCAACCCCTGTATTTAGAATAATCAGCATGTATATAGGAAACACAGGCCATCTCCCAATGCTTCTGATGTTCAAAGGCAAATGCAACTCTTCAGGGGTTTCTTCTCACTTGGCAACTGAAGGAAAGTTAGAGGTACTTAAAGAGTTTAACGGGGACAGCAATCAACACGGGTAAGAAGATAATAAAGGCTACTTGCTACCATTTTAAAGATACTGAATAAAAATCCTCAAGGGCATAACTGGCTGGCATGAGGTCACCCGAGGAGTCTGAAGTGAAGAGAGCCAAAACTGTGAGATCATATTCATAGGCCAGGTTGAACTCACACCATCACCCTATGTTCTAAATACAAGAAAGGAAGACAATAGTATTTCCACATCTTGTAATATCAGAATCAAAACTGTGAGATCAGGCAAAACCGGTTTGGCTCAGTGGATAGAGCGTTGGTCTGCCAACTGAAGGGTCCCAGGTTTAATTCCGGTCAAGGGCATGTGCATTGGTTGCGGGGACATCCCCAGTAGGGGGTGTGCAGGAGGCAGCTGGTTGATGTTTCTCTCTCATCAATGTTTCTAACTCTCTATCCCTCTCTCTTCCTCTCAGTAAAAAAGTCAATAAAATATATTTTTAAAAAACCTGTCAGATCATATTCATAGGCCAGGTTGAACTCACCCCATCACTCTATGCTCCAAGAAAGAAAGACAATAGTATTTCCACATCTTAATCAGTCTTGAGCTCCTTCCCATTACTAGGATCAATTTTCTACAGGGTTCTTCCTTTTCATTCCTCCACTAGAAGGAATTAGTGTTGTAACTATTATCTTCTTGTAGACTCAGCTCAGTTGCCAGATGTGAGGGTATAAGTTAAAAGAACCTGTATCTCTCCCTGGCCACTGTGGCTCAGTTGGTTGGAGCATAATCCCATGTACTGAAAGGTCTCAAGTTTGATTCCTCGTCAGGACACATAACTATATTTCAGATTCTATACCTGATCTAGAGACAACTGATATCTCTCTCTCTCTCTCTCTCTCCTTCCATCTCTAAAAAAAACTTTATTTATTTTTAAAATATATTTTATTGATTTTTTTACAGAGAGGAAGGGAGAAAGAGAGTTAGAAACATCAATGAGGGAGAATCATCAATCAGTTGCCTCTTGCACACCCCTACTGGGGATGTGTCCGCAACCAAGGTACATGCCCTTGACCGGAATCGAACCCAGGACCTTTCAGTCCCCAGGCTGACGTTCTATCCACTGAGCCAAACCGGTCTCGGTTCTAAAATAAACTTTAAAAAAATTAAAAGAAAAGAAGAACTTGCACCTCAGAAAGCTCACATAGGCCACAGAGCCTCAACTTTCCACTTGAGGTGAAGCGTCGCACTGTGAAAGTGTGGCAACAGGAAAATGTTTGTGAGATAACAAGTAAACAAATGAGTATTTAGTGTCTTTTAAAAAAATGGAGTGTGATGATGGAGGTTGAGATAGTTTCAAGCTAGGTGGCTGCATTGGTGTCAGGGCCTAGCCAAGATGAGAATGTGAAGTCAGCAAAGTTTGCCTTTTATGCACCCAACCTTGCCTTTCCGAGAACTTTCCCCCAGTCACATGCCCCAGTCTTTTTTCTTCCTTTACACCCCACCTCAACTGAAAGACTTTTAAAAGATGACTTTCAGAAAATCTGGGATTAGTTATTTCTCTCTCAGTGTGAACTCTTGTGGCAGGTATGGACAGATTGACGTTTACCTTAAAAAGGGAATGCTTTGGCCCCAACTGGTTTGGCTCAGTGGATAGAGCGTCGGCCTGCAGACTGAAAGATCCCAGATTCGATTCCAGTCAAGGGCATGTACCTTGGTTGTGGACACATCCCCAGTAGGAGGTGTACAAGAGGCAGATGATCCATGTTTCTCTCTTAGCAATGTTTCTAACTCTCTATCCCTCTTCCTTCCTCTCTGTAAAAAATCAAATATATATATCAGAAGTCTGATGCACGAAATTCATGCAAGAGGCTTGGTTGTTCCGCTGTTCGGCCCTCTGATCTAATTAGCATATTATGCTTTTACACACACACACACACACACATATATATAATATATATATATTATATATATATATATATATATATATATAATATATATATATATATATATATATATATGTAAAAGGTTGACCCTATTAAAGACATCTCAGGAATTGGTGGGCAGATAATCATGCAACTAATCATTCTAAAACAGTGTAGGGTGGGGAGTAAGTTGTTGGTTTTTAATCCTCACCTAAGGATATTTTTTTCCATTGATTTTTTTTTAGAAAGAGTGAAAGGGAGAGAGAGAGAGAGGGAGGGAGAGAGAGAGAGAGAGAGAGAGAGAGAGAGAGAGAGAGAGAGAGAAGAGACACATCGATTAGTTGCCTTCTGCCTTCTGCTTAAACCCGGACCGGGGCCAGGGATCAAACCTGAAACCAAGGTATGTGCTCTTGACTGGCAATCAAACCTGTGACCCTTCAGTATACCAGCTGGCACTCTAACCACTGAGAAAACTGGCCAGGGAGTAAGTAGAAAGTTTTTAAGAAATATTTTTATTAATTTAATTTCAGAGAGGAAGGGAGAGGGAGAAAGAGATAGAAACATCAATGAGAGAGAATCATTGTTTGGCTGCCTCCTGCATACCCCCTACTGGGGATTGATCCTACAACCCGGGCAAATGCCCTTGACCAGAATTGAACCTGGGACCCTTCTATCTGCTGAGCCAAACTGGGAAGGTGTGAGTAGCAAGTTTTAATGTGAAATTACACTATTCACAATGCTTCCTCCACTACTTTAACATAATCCCATTGTCCCACCAAAGTGACAGTTTAGTGCTACCTGCCTCTAATAACTTCTAAAAGTTATTAGAGGCAGAAATTGGGGGACAACTTGGCAGAGACTGTGAGGAGAAAATTAAAGTTCTGATTAATAAATGCATCTGATGATTTCTAAGACCTTTTTAAGTTTTATGATTCAGTAACCAAAAATTCAAACCCTAGGTTGCTCTGGACCATTCAGATTCTCACCCCAGAAAGACTGCTAATGTTAGATAAGAATATAAAAATTTAATTTGGGATAATTATGTAGCTGACTGTTAAGTTAAAAAAAAGTCCAAAATATTGTTCTAGAATGAAAAATTTGGGTGGATGGATTATTGGAGCGATGTTCAATCATTGGAGGAGGATTGGGTTTGTGGATGACTTTGTGTCTCACCATCATGCGTATCATAGGTACAGATGACATTGACTCAGATTCCACCTCTAATGCAGTAGAGGCACTGGGCTTTCTCTGTCATATGTCAGGAGCCCCAGTTGACATGCCTGAGAGGTTCTGCCTTTTTAGAATATGAAACTTTGGAGCTGTTGTGTATGGGATCTTTTTTGGTTTTTGCTTATTTGGTGTGTTTTTTTTTGGTTTGGTTTGGTGTGTGTGTGTGTGTGTGTGTGTGTGTGTGTGTGTGTGTGTGTGTGTGTGTGTTTTATGTAAGCATAAGCAGAGAGATCAAATCAGCTGTTTTCCTTACTTCTATCCTGGGAAGCTGATTTAGGAAGCTTTACATATCTAACTTGAAATAAAGCCATGAGGAATTGGCAATTCAACTGTAAAACTCCCAGTAAGAAGAGAGCAGAAATAAAGCAAGAGCGCATCTCACTGCCTTTGGAGGGACTGTGAAGAGAAAACTATATAAGACTGATCACATAATTACAGAATGTCAAAGTTGTTAGTGCCCTTACAGATAATCTCAGCCCTCTCATTTTATAGATGAGAAAACTGAGGTCTAAAGAGGTGAAGTCATTTGCACAAGATCATGCAATGAGCATATTATATTTACACATTACTGGGTTTATTAACTATTGTTCTGAAAGTGGCTTTATTTACATTTGAATTTGCAACACATCCTCAATACTGGCCAGAAGCCTCAAAGAACCAGAAAATAAATTCATTTCTACACCTTACAAATAAAAATTTATGAGTCTTCGACGAAAACATAGATTAACATAAAGAACCTAAAAGCCAGCAAAAGAGTTGATCTCTTTCTAATTCCCTTAGGTGGCTCAAGAATAAGGAAGGTATTAGAGTCTTCACTACTGGGTTAAATTACAAATCTGGGACAAAATAGGTGGAAAAGAATAAGCTCGGGAATAAGATCTTAAACCCTTCAATTCTGGGTTAATAACACATCATCCATATATAAAAACTAATTTCTCCCAATACCCATCCACCTGGCACAGAGCTGTCTTCAGTGTGGAGTGCTGCCTCTGATTCATGACCCATGAGGGCCAAAGGTATATGACTCAGTGTTCTGAGTGAGAAACAGGTAAAAAGAATCCGTGATGTTCTGCTTTAAGAGAAAAAGCCCTTAGGTATTTTGTCTATGAGGATGGAATCAATGTTGTAAGTACATCCTCAATGAATGTTCTAAAGTTTCTTGTTTTAGGTACCCATTATATGACTTCATGCTCGGTACCAACCTGTTGATCTAGAAAGCTTCAAATTATCTCTACCTCAGGTCTTGATTTGCCCTAGAGTGAACTGGTTTCATGAGCAAGTGGTATCATATGGTGTTTGGTTTGAGCAGCACTGAGAAGGTCCATCATCCATTCCCCACACCTTTCCTCACAATAAAAGGAAAATATCTGACTTTCACAGCACTTGGAATTCCTTCATAAGAAAAGCATTCCTTAATGTCATGTTAGAATGTATCCATCTTTAGAAGTCTCTATGAACTCCAATAAAGGCAATACCTTAGCCTGTGGCCTGCCAACAATGAAGCAGCAAATGGTTATCGCATCTCTGGAAAATGGGTGCACAATGAGAAGGCATCAAGATTTGTATGGGAAGATAAGAAAATGCAAAAAACAAGCTTGGTGTACTTCAAAAATTTCCCAGAGACAGCTGCAAATATAAACTTATGTGTATGTGTGAATGTGCCCATGAAACTATGTTTTCCCCTTAGAAAGTCTTTTTTGTCCTTCTCAAGAACATTTCTATGAATGAACACTTCTAACTTACCATACCCTTTTAACATAGGATTTTTGCTTCATTTTTTTTCTTTTCTTTTTTAATAATCATACTATGTATGTATAAATAACAAATGTTTAAACTTTTACCTTGTCATGTTTCAGTTTCCCAGCAGAAGTACTAAAACTTTTCAATGACACTTTTTACCAACAACTGAGCTCCTTACCTTGACAAGGGCTTCAAACTGGCTTCTAATTTCCTCACAGTTCAGTAAGGATAGGGACTTCTCTCCTTTGTTGCACCTCTGTAGCATTTTCATGAACACAAAATCTTCATGAAGATTCCTTTCATCTTCTATCTATTTGTAAAATAACACATAAGAAATGAAATTCTGAAGAATGGCATCAACAACAGGAGGAGGATTTTTACAGATATGCATGGGGAATAAAAATGTACATTGAATTATTGGTATTTGGTATTAACAGTTCAAAAAAATCTACAAAAACCAGCAACTAAAATGTCAGAGTATCTGTAACTCTAAGTGGAAATCAGAGTTATTCTAATGCAATTTAATCACAAAGTATACATTTTAAAATGTATTGTAGCAGCAACATTCTATAACTGTCATATTCCTCCTTGCTCCAGTAATGATTGCTCATTGTAAATAGTCTTGCAAACTAGTTCTCTACTGAGCAAATTTTCCCACTTCATTTTAGTGTTTGTGATGAAAAAGTTAATTTGCAATGTGTGTCAATTAACTCAAGTTCTAATTACATCTCTCTTTTTTAACTTTAGTATTTGCAGAAAACATTTGAATTTTTAAAGAATCATCTTTCATTTCCAAAGTTAACAAGTTATTTTATTTTCCGGTGTCTTAGAATGTATGGAATTCACTTGTATAATCAATTAATTCTCTGCCATTTTCCTGTTTTAAGATTAAATATTTGAATTCAAAACAAGATGCAATTAGTCAGTGGCTTTCACTGATATTAAGAGCACACCTAAATGCTACATTAAAATTGAGTCTACCTTGTAGAGTCTAGGCTTATATCCAGACTTTGATTGGCAGAGCCCATTAGGCCAAACACAATCAGACCAAAACCACCCCCCTTTTATTCTCAGCAGTGAGAAACTCAATAAATTACCTCAAATGTCACTGCCCCACTTTATTCTGATAGAAAACCACATTAATCTTAATTCTAGGTTGGCATTCCAATAAGAGACACTTAAATAATCCTGAGAAAATATAGTCTCCAGATACTCTACATCCACAATTCCCATATCCAAACTTTTTAGGAATGGCCAGATAATTGATCAAATTTCTTCTTTTCATTTATGATTGATATTTTGTCAACACAGCCAATGATTCCCCTCAATGAAAGTGGGTAAATGCACCAAAACAGGATAAATGCTAATGGTTATCTTTTCCTAAGAATGCAAAACAACTTCCTAAGTTACTCTACTCTTGTTTCTATAAGTCTAACCAAAGAATGTAAACCATCTTTGAAGGAAACTGGGAAGCTTGCAACTACAATCGGAATTTGACCAATTATACAGAGAATGCCACTTTTACTAAAAGACAATTTCTGGGATTTATCCATAACTATGTTAATCTGAAGCACTATGGAATTTGAGATCAAATTGATATTCTCCTTCTGTAGTTGGAAATTTAAAAATTTTAAAAATGTTTTCATGATTAAAAAATAGTTTATTTTTTAAACAAAACTATAGCAAACAATTATATGCAATGCCTACATAATGCTTACTTTGTGCCAGGCTTTGTTCTAAGCTTGTTACAAGGCTACATTCATTTAATCAATGAAGTGGATACCATTATCATTCACATTTCTCCCATGTGGAAACTGAGGGATAGAAATGTAAAATGACTTGCTTAGGATCACAGAGCTTGTAAAGGGTAGATTCAATATTTGAACACAGGCAGTTTGACTCCAGAGCCCAAGCTCTTGACCACAGACAAGAATATGAGATTTCACTCACTAGGCACAAACATTATGCCACAAGACTATTTATCGGTTTTGGTTCCTACCATTGTTCATCATTTGAGTAGAGCTAAACCAACCAACCCAGAAACTGAAGACCCCAAATTTCGTTAATAAAGATTTCATCTTACCTTGTCCAATCTTCTGTGAAGATACACAGCAAAAAGTGCGGACCCAATCATCTGGGTGATAAGAAAAACAGTAAGTAAATACATGAAAATTTTCATACTGACGGGTGGTCCACTATTCACAGGTCGGGGAGAAGGTTGGCTGTATGTTTCGATCATGCTGCCTTAGAGTTGAAATATCTTCTGCTGGAGAAGGTGACAGCGGCAGCATGAGAAGACTGTCAAAGTGGCCACCTTACTCAGAATTAGTTAAGAGCATACAATCATCGCAGCCCACACTTCCTGGAAAATGTGCTTCGTAGTCTTCTCTCCCAGCAAAAACGTTACGTAAAGGTTTTTTTCTTTCTTAAATTATACCCATATCATTCACTTCCAGGCTTTCCCTTTTGTTAGTAAAGAAGAAACTCTTCCATACATTCATTCTTGCCTTAAAATGTCATAGACTTCTCAACAGACAATGGCAGTATTTTCCAATTGCTGTCTAACTTTTGGGGTTCACCAGTTTCAAGGAAAGTGATAAATTAATCCACCAGCAACAGACACATTTCATTTTCATTCTTACTAATGTAAAGCGGGAACTTGGTATCTAAGGAAAGAAACAAATGAAGACAAAAGTTTGGATTGATTTTATGACAGTGTGTCACTAGCTAATTGCTTCTCAAGACTTATTTAATATTTAAACCCAACAAAATCCCAGCAGGTATTCAAGTTGAGACTACATGGCATAAAGCAAAAAAAGAGTGATAAAATTTATTAAATAAAATTTAGCTAGAGAGATAATTCAAGAAAAATACATTTCTCAAAGGTCAAGAGAAGTAAGGGCTCGAGGGAAATCAGGCCAAAACTCTATGATTGATGTTAAAGTAGGAATATTAGTTTGACTTAGCCAAATTGCCTGTTTATGCCGTTCCAATCCATCAGATCATTGTTGATGCCTATGTAACTGTTCAGAAAAGGTGAAATAGGCTGCACCTAAGATAACTAAATTATACTCCTTGCTCTACCAATAAATTTCTATGGACCACAGGCAAATAACTTCGTCTCTCTAGACCTCAGTTTCCTCATATTCAAAGAGGTCAAGAATATGATTTCACTCACTAGGCACAAACATTATGCCACTTTGCCTATACTATAGGTTGTTGTGAAGTACAAAAAAGAGGTGTATGAAAGACCTTTCAAATGTGTTAAGCAATAGACAATTTTCATTCTGAGTTTTTTTAAAAAAAATATTTAGCCTAAGATATGAGTTTTCCAAATAATTGCCAATTCCTTACATACTAATAAAAAAAGAAAAAAACAGCAACAACATTTAAAAACCCAAAGTTTTATTAACGAATTGAATCACTGAGGTGTGTAAGATTACATATTTCTGAATGGCTTTTGCATGGTCTTATCAGATTGCCTTCAAAATTAAAGCAGCTGTGGAAATCCCTACCCACATCCCAACCTGGTCTAGAAACCATGACAAGTTGGCTTTGGCGATTCCTATAAAATTGTTTTAAGAGACAAATAGGAAATGCAACAAAATGCTCCGATAGGCATGCTATCTGTAGAGTTAGCACCTGCTCTCTTCTCCTCCCACGCCCCAGCATCCTGTCCTGGACCCAGATCTGCGTAGCTTTTCACTATATCTGACAAGTAGGTGACTTCAATGTATGTGATAAACTTTGATCAGTCAAGTAAGAGGCTTCGGTTCTTAGACAAGCCTTTGTTCCACTAAAGGAAAATTATCACAAGAGGCAAAATAGGCTCGAGGACTTCTCCAAGGCCAGCTTCATATAATACAGAATGCCAGAGCTGCAAGGACCCTGCAAAGATAAGCTGAAGGGACCACAGAGATGCAGACAATGAAAGGATTTGTTCATGTGACCAAAAAAAGTTGTCCAACCTCCTTGTCTCCATTTCCTGATTGCCCACCTCCTACAGTCTGACTTCTGCCCACAATATTCCCCTGAAATTGCACCCACCATTATTAGTTCAATAATTTTGGTCAAATTATTTCTAGAGTTTATTTTTAGTGACTTTCCTATTAGTCTGTTGACCTATTATTCTGTTGTCATCCTGCTGAAAACTCGCCTTCCTTGCCTCTCAAAAAACTTCTTTATGGATCCCTTTATTTCTTTGTATCCTTTAAAACTTAGGTATTCCCTATCCTCATTCATCTGTTCTCAACTCTCCTCCCTTTTCCCTCTTCTCATTCTACATATTTACCTTGTGTGAATCCCATTATATTTCTCAATATCACCTTCATTGTGACAAATCCCAAATCTATAACTGTAGTCCTGAACTTCAGATTTTTAAGTATGGCTACCTCTAACTATTTCTACTTGGATATCTCAAAGTCACCTCACATTTGGCATGCTCAAAACTTAACTCAACTGCCCACTCCACTTCCAATCTAGACCTGTTCTCTCTCTAATGTGTCCTTATCTCTGTGAATGGTACTACAACACCCACTAATTGTTCAAGTCAAAGTCCTGGTAGTTATCTATAATCCCTCTTTTTCTCTTGCCCAAATTACTTGCCAATCCCAGTAGTTCCTTCTCCCCAAAGCTTCTTTGCCACCACTTTTTTCCATTTCCCCTGTCAACATCCTAGTCCAGGCCCACATCCTCTCTCTGCTAGATTACTGGACTATACTCTCCTAATTTATCTCCTTATTTCCTTTCTGTCCCACTCATCTAACCTCCATATTTGCAGCAGAATGCTAATTCTAATTATTATAATTAACCAATCATCTTATCTAATTTGAGCCCTCAGACTCTGCACTAGACCCAGGGAAGCAGATTGACAGAGTGCTCTGAAATGTTTAATGTGAATGGAATTAACTCCAGAATCACCTTCTTGTACTTCAATTCTTGAAACTTCCCCCTGCCCCTGATTCTTCTTCTGCCTGGTCCTAGGCACAATTGGCTACCTTCCCAGTTTCTAAACTTCATTTTCTGATTCTGTATCTGATGTCCTTTGTATTAGACTCCCAATACCTGCCTCTGCCGCAGCAAGGAATGGATTGGTTCTGGTTTTGGTCCCCTTTTAAATATCTTCAGCTGCTTAATGCATCCAGAAATTATTTTTAAACTTTGTTACAAAGAAATGTATAGCTCTATAAAGTACATGAAAGTGCCTGAAGCCAAAGTAAAATATTGGCCATCTTTTCCTTAGCTCACAAAAAGAATTAAATTAATAGATTAAATTGTTTCAATTTTCAGTTTTTCTTATACAAAATTATCTGAAATGTCTGTCACCCTTTTCTACTACTGCATTTCTTGTAGATAGTGCTGATTTAAAGCAAATTAGTATCAAGGGAAAACTAAAAAAACACAATGGATTATACTTCAACAGCTTGTTTTTTATGTTAATGAATCTGCTTGTGGTTGTGATTTTATATTGATAACCTCGAACACAGTCATAGTTTCTGTTAGGAAAATTATTTCCAGTACATATAAAGAGTTAAATAGATCAGTGTTTTGTTTGTTCTACAAAGGCCCTCACAATGATTCTTTTCCCTGAACATGTCTGGAAAATCCTTGTGTAGAGGACAACATCTCCATCATTAGCGCAGCACATGATCTGACCCCCCACCCACATTTCTGTCTTCATCTCTGCAACTCACTCATGCTCAGCCCTGGGAATCAACCATATCAAGTGAGGCTTATTTCTCAAAATGTGCTGTGCTTGTTCAAGCTGTTTCTTATGAGCACACTGACTCCCTCCTCTCTTATCCATTAATGTTGAAAAGGTATTCTGTGAAACATCCTCTCTCAGCTGACAGTGTCCTCTTCTGTGCTTAATCTATCATAGCATCATAATATCATGTCATGATTGACTTGTCTGGACATTTCCATACCATTAGTTTCTAGAGGAAAAAGACAATTAAAAAATTCAAAATCTTTGCTTCCTGACACACTGTAAGGAATTCATAAATCCTTTCCAAATAACAAAATTTTCTTTTAAAGAGATAGAAAGGGAAGTTGTAAAAACAATCTAACCTAGTAGAATAGCACTGGCTAGCCTCTCTAATGATACAAATCAGAATATATTTAAGTTTTCCTTTATTCCTTTAATTATCTCTTTTATTCTGGGGTCAATCCCATTTGTTTATTTTGGTCCTTCCCTTTCATGTTGATAGTTTCCCTCAAATGTGTGGTGACCCTTATGAATGAAAAAATGATGTTAGGTTTTATGGGTAGATGGCATAAGTTTCCTCTACTGTAATGTTGTTCTGTTTCCCCCACAAACCTCTCTCTGGAATGGGAGGGCTAAGTGTGGGTTCTATTTAGTTGGGTAGGGCCTGTCAACAGGCACACTTCCTTTTATGTCATGTGGGTGGAGAGGCAGGAAGGCCAGGGACCCCCACAACTGATAAAATAAGGAGGGCTTTCCTTTGGGGGTGGAGCCCTGTAGAGGTTTTCACTTTTGACTGATGCTGGTTTTCCTTTTGTTTTCTTTTTCATTTCTGTTGTGGAAGTTGCAGGATCCTCCTTAGAGCCCTCTCCAAGCAATTTTAGCTTGAGAGCAAAAGTAAAATATTGCTGCTGACAAAGAATCTATGGGGAAAGGGAGAGAGTGAGAAAAACATCCATCTTTCTCAGTTTTTCCCACCAGAGATCTATAATAAGAGTTACCATAATGATTGCCTCTCAGCCTACCCTGCTCTTTGCATTTATTGACATTGAGATTCGTGCCTCTTTGGGAAAACCCATTCTTATGTCTGTTTTCTTGAGTTGCCATATTTTCTGCTCTTCTTTCTCTGTTAGTCAAAATTCAATGGCTTTCTTGCTTTGCCATAGTCCTCAAAATTTATTTCACACTGATGTCACCTTTTTGGTTTCCCATGGTGGTTGTAGTTTTATTATTTTTACATTTAATTTTGACTAAGTACATTCACATAGTTTAAAATGTAAGTGGTACAAAAGATTGTTCAATGTACAGTATTTCTTCCACCTCTTCCTACTAGTCCTCCATTGTCAACCAGTGTTGTCAGTTTTATGTATCTCTCAGAGATGCTTTTTTAATTTTATTTTTATTGTTTGAACTATTACCTGTAATAATACATATAGCTCCTTTTTTTTCTGCCCATGAACTTCCCCCAGCCTCCCTTACCCCCTGTCGCATGTTCTCATCCCACACCCCAAGTATCTTGTGACCATTTGTTGTGCTTGCATGCATACAAGTCCTTTGATTGATCTCTTCCCCAGCGCCCCTCCCCAACTCTCCTGCTTTCCCGCTGTAATTTGACAGTCTCTTCGGTTCTTATTTCACTTAGCATAATGCTCTCCAGTTCCATCCAGGTTGCTGCAAATGGTAAGAATCCATTCTTTTTTATGGCAGCATAGTATTCCATTGTGTAGATGTACCATAGTTTTTTGATCCAATCATAGGCTAATGGGCGCCTAGGCTGTTTCCAAATCTTAGCTATTGTATAATAGATGTGCTGCTATGAACATAGGGATGCATATATCCTTTCTGATTGGTGTTTCTAGTTTCTTGGGATATATTCCTAGGTGTGGGATTACTGGACCCTTTGACCTTTTCCACCCATTGCCCACCCCCTTCCTTTCTGGCAACCAACAATT